ACCTGCCTCTGGACAATGGTCTGAAGGAGCTAACAGTGGTGCTTGTATAGTTTGGCAGCTGTCAACAGGAAAAATAGGGCCACGAAAGAGAGGCGGCTTGCACAGCTGGTGGAACCAGACTCGGGGAAGGGAGGAGCTGGATGACATCACCATCCCGTGAGTATGTCTTATCAGGTGGTAAACCCTTCCAAGCTCAGCTTGAGAGATTACTTCTAGCCTCCCACATCATAGGCACTCATAAATTTATGTCTTTACGGGTTACTCAGGAAGCCCAGGCTTGAACTCGATTTGAAGCCAGCCTGGTCGTGAGATGCTGTCCCCACCCCAAACGTATTTATTGACTGGATAGATAATCCTAGACCTGAAATTGTCCTCCAATCACTGTTACGTCATTCTCCAGTGATCCCCAAAATGTTACTTAATATAATTTGTGCTTCTTAGAGTAAATCATTCAGTTTTGCTATGTGGCACACTCACACATATCTGAAGACCCAGTGAGAACCATTCATTTTTATTTTTATTTTAAATATCTGATCCGGGCTAGTATTTTAACATCTTACTTTTCATTCATTTCCCTAATGTTCTGGACAAAGTTATGATTTGTCCATAGATATTTATTTCCTGGATTTTTTTCATGAAAAACATTAAAACATTTTTTTTAGAATGCTATATCTTTATTAAACACTGCTTCTAACCAAACCATAATGGGCTGTGTTAGATGTACTAAGTCATTCTCTTCCTCCTCCTCCCAAAAAGAGAGAACACTAAAGGATTAAAAAGTTTACATAAAGTACAAACCAGGTAAGAATAACCGGCGGGGACCAGGTATGGCGGCTTACACTGTGAGGACAGCATCTGGGGAAGGGAAGCAGGAGGATTGTCTGGAGGTCCAAACCTGGGTTACGGAGTGAGACCTTTTCCCCAAAAGCAAACGGAAAACATCGGAAAGGTAACGTCTCTGGTTCTCCTCCTGTGGCCCAAGCACGGCTGTGGCGACAGACAACAGCAGGCCGAAGCCCACCCCATCCGTGCACAGTGACGAGAGTGTTTCCCTCGCCATCAAGCCATTGTTCAGTAAGAACGGCAGAGGGACGTGCACGAGCGTGCAGCGTAAACACAGAAACGGACAGCGGCGCTGGGCTGCTTTGGTTTAAGCTTTGTCACAGAACACGAGTGTCACATCAAGGAATCAATCAACCTTTATCTTGATGTTTAAATAAAAGCCAATCTGATTTTACGGTTTCCTGGACTAATTATTTATTTTAAAATATCATTTTCTGCTTTGTACTTCTTCAGTGGCTGGGGATGATCCAACCGTGGCCCCTGAGAATTGTCTCTGTGCTGGGTCAGCAAGTACAGCCAGGCTCTGCTTTCTGGGAAGTAGTCCTTTAACAACACAGCTACCTAACCTTTTTTTTTTTTTTTCAAGACAGGGTTTCTCTGTGGCTTTGGAGGCTGTCCTGGAACTAGCTCTTGTAGACCAGGCTGGTCTCAGTCTCACAGAGATCCGCCTGCCTCTGCCTCCCAAGTGCTGGGATTAAAGGCGTGCGCCACCAACGCCCCGCCACCTAACCATTTTCTAACCTTTCACCTAAACCGGAATCAGCCACTCAGTGGATAGGGCTGAGACTTTCTGGAGACAAAAATGGCAGACGAGCAGCTGGAACAACGAGGAGCCACATACACTAAATACCACTGTCCAAAATACTTCATTGAACATGGGAAAAACAACCAAAACAAAACAAAACAAAACAAAACAACAATCTTTTCTGACTTGTTTTTAAAGAGCCATCAACACTGTTTAGGAGTTGAGTAGATGTGGTGATACTTTCTTTGGGATCTAACAAATAAATCTTGCCTGAAGACCAGAGTGCTGAGCTGGCCACACTAGTTAGCCAAAGATGCCAGGCAGTGGTGGCACACACCTTTAATCTCACCATTTGGGAGGCAGAGGCAGGTGGATCTCTGTGACTTCAAAGCCGTCCTGGGCTACACGAGATTAATCCAGTCTAACAGAGAAACAGGCAGTCTGTGGTGGCTCACATCTTTAATCCTAGTATTTAGGGAGGTGGAGACAGGAGTTATATGGCTGGACAGAGAGAGGAATATAAGGCGGGAGGAGACAGAAGCTCAGGGCATTCAGTCTGAGGATTTGTAGGGACAGGATCACCCCTTAGATCTGATGATTCTGTAGCGGTAAGAGTTCTGTCTTGTGAGTGGCTCCTTTACTTTTTAGCATTTACCCGGTATCTGACTCTGGGTTGTTATTATTAAGACCTATTAGAACTCTTGCCGCAAGTAGGCATGTCATGAACTAATTGTAGCAATCGGTGTAGTAATTGTAGTATAAGGATTCCTTATGCACTCTTAGAATACAGGTATGTGTCTTGTTTCTTTTGTTCGGTTTTTGAGACAGGGCTTCACTGTGTGGCCCTGCCTGTCCTGGAATTCATTCTGTAAACCAAGCTGGCCTTGAACTCATAGAGATCCACTGCCTCTGCCTCCTGAGTGCTGGGAGTAAAGGCGTGCACCATCACCACCCAGGAAAGACCAGTCTTGAAAGCAGAATAGGAAAGATCTTGTTAGAGTAATTTTGCACTCAACAAGGGACTGTTGCCTAATCAGGGGAATGCCGTAAAAAAAAAAAAAGTGTGCTACTTCCAGCTCCCAAGACACTTGCAATCCAGTTGAGGAGGCGGGAGATAAGGTTAATGAGGCTGAAATAATATAAAGTATTGTTCTCTCTAGTTACATGGGAATGAACACGACGGAGAGTGGAAGTCGAGGGGAAATAAGGAGGACTTCAATGAGACGGCGACAACGGAGCTTAGAAGGTGGTTCTGAGTTGAGTTTAAACATAGGAGTAGGGTCTGGATAGACAGCTGAACAGCTAAGAGACTGACTGCTCTTTCCAGAGGACCCTGCTTTGATTCCCAGCACCCACACGGCAGCTCATATCATCTCTATCTCCAGTTCCAGAGAATCTGACTCCTAACCTCCCTGAGCACTAGGCATGCAAATGGTGGCCAGCACATACATGCAGGCAAAATACACCCACACTCCGAGCGCCTATCCCTACAAAAGGATAGCAGGGGGGAATATTCATGGGTCAGAGCCTTGTTGGAATAGATAAAGGCTGATTGGACTCTGTGAAAAGCACGGTCAAAACTCCAGGAAGATGGCAATTTGTTGAGAGACCTTGGGTGCTACATTAATAGCTTTGACCTTTATTACTCCCTTCGGGCAGTTGTTAAAAGAGCTTCAGTGCCAGGGAATGACATCATGAAAATAGGAGGCCAGAGGAACCAGTTAGGAGGCTACTGTGAGCATTTTGAGATAAGGTCTTGTTGTGGAAGTGTGAAGGAAGGACAGATTTGAGCAAGCCAGAGCAAGGATCAATAGCATTTACTTCCGAGTGGGTGTGTGAACAGACAGGGCAACGGGTATGTGTGTGTGTGTGGGGGGGGGTGACCGCAGAGCAGCTCCTTAGGAAGTGTGTTGGGGGCGGCTTTGGCGGCAGACTTCTGGCAGAGAGTAGGCAGCAAGGTTTACACATCAGCAGGAGTGTGCTCTCAGCTGACTATCTTATGAAGACCGTGGCGTTTCTCCGGAACTCAGGCAGAAGGCATCACAGTGATTTCACAAGGCACGAGGCAGCAATGCCCAGCTCGCACTGGATGCTCGAGGGGACGGTGTCCACGGGAAGGAGCCGGAACGATGTCCACGGGAAAGAGCACGCTGCTCATGGCTGAGCCTGCACTCTTGGTTTGCTTGTTTAGTTTTAGGGTTTCATTGTGTGCATTTGGACAAAATACTTTGAAAACCGATTGGGCCTGTTTTCTTACCTACGAAGTAAGCATTTATTACATGGTGACTCTTGCATTGGCCTTCATGAGGTTTAAATCACAGCCATTATTCAAGGCTTGTGTTACCTCTTCTTGCTACTTTACCTGGAGGCCTAGTTTGCGCCTATGCCCGGTCCCTAGCACCAAAAACAAATAACCTTCTCTTTCTTAATCTCTAGAATATACATTCTGAATATAAACTCTAAATTTCAAGGCAGAGGAAGCCACTTTAATTGCATACAGCTTTGCACTCTGGTCTTGCTATGGCTCTGTTGGCTTTTCTGGCACTTACTAATGTGTCTGCACTCAGCTATTGAGCTGGCTGGAGACAGACTTTTTTCTCTCCTCTCTCTCTCTCTCTCTCTCTCTCTCTCTCTCTCTCTCTCTCTCTCTCTCTCTCTCTCTCTCTCCCCCTCTCTCTTTCTCTCTCTGTGTGTGTCTCTCAGGATATTTATTTTTATTTTACGTGTGAGAGTGATTATCTGTGTGCATCTATGCATACTGCATGCATGCCCCATGTCCAGGGAGGCCAGGAGAGGGCAGTCAGATTCCTGAAAGAGAGTTAGAGACGGATGTGAACCACCATGTGGGTGCTGGGAACTGAACCAAGGTCCTCTGCAGGAGCAGCCAGTGCTCTCGGCTGCTGAACTCTCTCCAGCCCCTACTGTTACTTTTACAGAAAGTCTTGGCAAGTTTCCTAGGCTCACAGTGACCTTGCTCTGCAGCCTAGGAAGGCCTTGATTTCGCAATCCTCCTCCTTCAGCCTCTGATTAGCTGGGATCAGAAACTTGCACTAGTGGGCTCTGTCTGCTGCCAAGTGGTTCTCCTAACAGGGTAGTCAGACTTCTTCCCTTGAGGCTCAAATCTGTTGAAGGTGCAAAGGCACCACCTGCTTAGGGGAAGGTTTATTTGGGAGGAGCTGGTGTAGTTTTACTCTACAGTCTTCTTGTTAAGTTAAATCAGAGGCCCTGCCATATTTAAGTGGATAGGATTACATAAGGGAATGGATAAAGGAGGGGGTGGCCCATTAAGTTTCAACAGGTGACCACAACTTTAGTAAATGTGTGACATGTGAGTTAGGGAGGGTACATCTCTTACCCTTTGTAGACGGTGGAGCCAAGCACTTCAAAGCTTGTACTCTTTTTTTTTTTTTAATTAAAGGGAGCACAAACACAGAACCCCACAAATTATGCAGTTGAATTTCTCCAATTTGGGTAAATCTTGAGGATCAGTGCATCCGGAGTTCAATGGATAAGCCTCCTTCTGGGAAAACCACCTTCGTGGCCATGGTATCTCCCCTACCAGACATATATCAAAGCTTGTATCATAACAATGGGCCAAGAGACAAAATTTGTTAATTGCCTTCATTTAAAATTTTGCTTCTAGCCGTGCATTGGTGGCACACGCCTTTAATCCCAGCACTCAGGAGACAGAGGCAGGCGGCTCTCTGTGAGTTCGAGACCAGCCTGGTCTACAGAGAAAGTTCCAGGACAATCTCCAAAGCCACAGAGAAACCCTGTCATGGAAAAATTTTTTTTTGCTTCTATTGTTTTAGACTGTCTCATTCTGTAACCCACACTAGCCTGGCAGTCTTGGCAATCCACTGCCTCAGCCTCCCAAGCGTTAGGATTGGGGGAGTGAATCATTGTTCCTGTGGGATCTCTTTTATTTTTAGAAAGTGTTTCCTGTAGCTCAGGCAACTGGTGACACAGCTGAGGATGACCTTTGACCTCTGACTTTCCAGCCTCCACCTACCCGGTTTCAGCACTACAGAGCTGCCCTGCTAAGCTGGGCTTATGCCGGAGTGGGGTGTTGAGGTAGAGGCAAATTCTCTGTCAGCTGGGGTACGCCTTTACACTTTGCTTATTTATTTATTTTTTGTTACTTGGGAATTTCACACTTGCACACAATGCGTTTTGGCTAAGCCCACCCCCCATCCCTTCACCTCCAGTTCCTTCCCTTTCCCCTCCCAACCTCACACCCTTTCCTTTTTTTTTTTTTTTTTTTTTTTTTTTGGTTTTTCGAGACAGAGTTTCCCTGTGGCTTTGGAGGCTGTCCTGGAACTCACTCTGTAGACCAGGCTGGTCTGGAACTCACAGTGATCCGCCTGCCTCTGCCTCCCGAGTGCTGGGATTAAAGGCGTGTGCCACCAACCCCCGGCACACCCTTTCCTTTTAAATCCACTGATCCCACCTTTGCTTCCGTCGCGGACATGGGTGAGGGACTCTCCACTGAAGCCTCATAGGTACCACGGCCCTAAAGAAACCTGCCTCTTCCCACCCCGCAGCCAACAGCTCCCAACAGTGCCTCAGTTAGGGATAAGGCTTCTTGAGCCTCCTCGAATCCGTGCGTGGGGCCGGCTTGCTCTTGCGCCTTGCTTGGCTCTGGCTCTAAATGTGGATTTTTCTGAAGCAGGTGTTATTGCTTTCCTGAAGCTGCAAAGGAAAAGACAGAGGACTGGATTATAGAGGGCTTAAGTGTTTGAGGTGACTTAAGTAATTATTATTATTTTTTTGTTTGTTTGTTTTTGAGACAGGGTTTCTTCGTGTAGCTTTGGAGCCTGTCCTGGAACTCACTTTGTAGACCAGGCAGGGCCTCCTGAGTACTGGAATCAAAGGCACCAGCCACCATTTCCCTACCTACATTTTTTTTTTATAGCCCTGGCTGTCCTGAAACTCATTGTGTAGATCAGGCTGGCCCTGAATTCACAGAGATTCACCTGTCTCTGCCTCCTAAGTGCTGGGATTAAAGGTGTGCACCGCTATGCCTAGCCAAAAGAAAGAAACTGTTTTAGGGTTTCTATTGTCGTGATGAGGCACCATGACTACTAAAGTTAACGTGGGGAGGAAAGGGTTTATTTCATCTTACAATTTGTAGTCCATTACCCAGGGAAGCCAGGGCAGGAACTCAAGGCAGGAACCGGGAGGCAGGAACTGATGCAGAGGCCCTGGGGGGAGTGCTGTGTTGGGAACCAGCCCCCACGGACCTCTGTGCATTGCTTGTCAGCTGATAGCCACAGGTGCATCCTGCTCTCTAGTCCTGGCTTACAGCCCCAGCCTTGCCTGCCTGACATCAATATCTAGCACGAGGAGAACACAAGCTCTTATACCTGGGGATTCTCCACTGTGCTGTAAGCCTGTATATAAGGCTGCTCACCCCTTATGGTACACAGTCTCTCTTTCTCTCTCTGCCTCTCTCTCTCTCTCTCTCTCTGTCTCTGTCTCTGTCTCTGTCTGTCTGTCTGTCTGTCTGTCTCTCTCATATGCACACACACTCTTTCTCCCTCCACCTCCCCCCTCCTTCTCTCCTTCCCTCTTCCCTTCCCTCTCCCCCCCTCCTCCTTGCAATAAAGGTGACGGACACATTCTCTTAGCACAAATGGTTGGGCGTTTTGTCTTTCATTTCCGGATACTGCGGACTTTTTCGCGGTGTGGACACCAGAGTGCTATTTATTGGGTTGCTCCCCATGCTATGCTCAGTTCTGTGTTTTATATCACTCGGGATCACCGGTCTAGGAGAAGGGGCTCTGCCTGCAGTGATATGGGCCCTCCCAGAACAAGCATCAGGCAAGTCTTGCCCACAGGCTAATCTGGCGGGGGCATTTTCCCAATTGAAGTTCCCTCTTCCAAAGTGACTCCAGATTGTGTCAAGTTAAAAACAACAAACAAACAAACTAGCCAGCACACAGACAATGCCATGCTACTCTTTATGGGTTGTACCTTGTAGCTATCATTCACGTTATTGTTGGAAGGGTTGGGATAATAGCAAATCACACAGAATCATCTATCAGGTTTGTTGTCTGCTTGTTTGTTTAGTGAGACAAGGTCTCCTTATGCTAGCCAGTCTGGCCTGGAACAACTAACCTCAAGTGATAGGTTTTCCTGCTTTAGCTGCTCCAGCATTTGGACTACAATGCACACCATGGTACCTATCTTATGATGATAGCGTCTATTATCTGTTCAGGAATGTGAAGCTTTTGAGTTTGCAACCATTTCAGGGACTTAGAATTGTGTTCCCTGCTGTCTATTTATTGAGGCTTGGCAAGGAATAAAGGCTACATCCTTACTTATCCAATTGCAACCCAGATTCGCACCTTTCTGAGATAAGAACCTTCCTGGAGCTGCTGGAGAGATGACTCAGTGGTTAACAGCAGTGGCTGCTTTTCCAGAAGACCTGGGTTCAATGGCCAGCACCCACATGGCAGCTCACAACTTTCTGTAACTCCAGTTCCAGGGGACCTGACACCCATGGCAAAACAACAATGTACATAACAAATAAAAATAGATAAATGAAGAAAAACAGAACCTTCCTGGAACGGGACCGGCCTCAAGCATCATCCTGTCAGTCCTGCAGATTCTGAGCTAGTAACCCTCCCCTCCCAGGTACTTCCTCTTGCTCCACAGCTGAAGAGGTGGAGTGAGCCTCTGAGGCCTCTCTGCTTCCTATCAGTCCTGTAAGTAGAGAGAGGACTTGCTGCATGGAGAACAAGAGTTTCGGATGCCCAGAAGCAACCAACTCTGCTTATCTTGGGAGGCTATTCAGGTGCTTCTTAGTCTCTGGGTTGTGATCTCATATGGCTTGTGTAATTCATTGTGGAGCAGGGGGCAGGAAAAATTGGCAATTGTAAAAGGTTTCTGATGCCAGGAGGTGGCCACCAAGGCCAATGCCTTTAACTTGAGAGCCAGAAACAAGCAGATCACTGAGTTGGAGGCCAGCCTGATCTAGAGAGCAAGTTTTAGGACAGTCAGGGCTACAAAGAGAAACCCTGTCTCAAAAACCAAACAAACAAAAAGTTTCTGGATACACACACACACAGGACCAAATATTAACTCAGTATCAAACATCATGAGTCTGAATTGTGTTTCTGGTGGTACTTGCTGTGCGGCAGCTCCTGACTTCATTGTACTCTTGGTTTCAAACACAGTTGCCCTTTGCTTTCTGCTTGTTGGCACATCACACAATACCACACCACACAACACCACACACCACACACCACAACACCACACACCATACTATACAACACCACACAACACAACACCACACACCACACAACACAACACCACATACCACACAACATCAAACCATACACCACACAACACCACACCACACAACAACACACAACACACAACACAACACCACACACCACACACCACACTATACAACACCACACAACACCACACCACACAACATCAAACCACACAACACCACACAACACACACCACACCATACAACACCACACCACACCACACAACACCACACAACACCACACCATACAACATCAAACCACACCACACCACACAACACAACACCACACAACACCACACAACACCACACAACACCACACCAACAACACACAACACCACACCACACACCACACAACACACTATACAACACCACACAACACACAACACCACACAACACCACACCACACAACACAACACACACCACACCATACAACACACAACACACCACACAACACCACACCATACAACATCAAACCACACAACACACTACACAACACCACACAACACAACACTACACCATACAACATCACACCACACAACACCACACAACACAACACTACACCATACAACATCACACCACACAACACCACACAACACCACACCACACACCACACCATACAACACCACACCACACCATACAACATCACACCACACAACACCACACCATACAACATCACACCATACAACACCACACCACACCATACCACACAACACACCATACAACACCACAGCACACAACACATTATATAACACTACACCAAACAACACAACACCACACCACAGACCATACAACACCACACCACACCACACAACACCACACAACACCACACCATACAACACCACACCATACAACACCTCACAACACCACACCACACCATACAACACCTCACAACACCACACCACACCACGCAACACATCATACAACACCACACAATACACCACACAACACAATACCACACCACAAAACACATCATACAACATCACACCATACAACACCACACCACAACACCATACACCACCACACCATACAACATACCATACAACACTGCTTGAAACACAACTGCTCAGATTTGCATTGCAGTTTCTTACTTGTCTCACAATGCTCTGCTTTTACAGAAACAATGATTTAATTACGGAAAACTCAAAAAATGTTTTTCTACCATCATTCCTCAGTATGTACCATCTTAGCATATCTTTGGGTTATACTGTGCTACAATGTTTGGTGTTAAAAAATGACTGAGTTGCTGAAAAGGCCCAGAAAGATACTTCTGCCCCTTTCAGGACTAGCAATTATAACATAAAAAAGTGAGAAATATTAAAAAGGCCCTGCGTCCTGCAGTATTAAGCAGTTTAGTTTTTAAATATATAATCACATTATTTTATTATTACTAAGGGATGGTCCTAGGCAAGTATTCTGCCACCGAGCTACAGTCACAGCCCAAAGCATAGTTTGTTGTCTTCAAAGAATGGCAAAAATCCTATATATACACTCAGGAATTGTTTTAAAATCAATTTATGATTATCAGTGTTTGATTTGTACATATTTCATACACCTATATAGTTAGGGGTTGGGTAACCATTTTTCATGCAAAAAGGGCCCATGAGTGGAAAAGTTCAGGAAGCCTTGATATAAGGCTACCCTGTTTTCGCCCAGCCTGTGAGAGGCACGGGGTCACAGGGAACCGGGCGTGTAGCTCACTGGAATAGGATACAGTTATTCAAGGAGTGGACTCAAACTTTTTAAAAAAGTATTATTTTTACTGGGGTGGGGAGGAGCTTCTGCGGAAGCCAGAGGACGGCTTGTGGAAGCTGGTTCTCTTTTCCCACCATGTGGGGTGTGTTATGGAACTCAGTTTGTCGGGCTTGCCCATAAGGGTCTTTACCAGCTGAGTCATAAAATTATCCACTCTTCTATCTCTTAAAGGGAAAATTATGGAGTGGCCTTGCCTTTGTCTTTCAACTTTCTGGCGGACCATAGGTTTCTTCATTTTCCTGTAACACTGTCCGTCAACTGTGGATTTAATTTTGACTTTATTTTGCTCTTTAACAAGGTGAGTCACCATGCCTGAATTGAATACAATTCTGTTGGCCCAGCCCAGGCTAAGCAAAAGCGTTTTACGTGTATTGCCTTATTTATGGAGCTTATCATTAATAAGCGTCTATTAGAGTCTGTGGGTCGGGTAGGGGCTTCCTGGAATTTGACTTAGCATGCGGCCACCCTTTCTTGGAGAGAGGCCGAAGGAAAGGAGGGTACAGTTGAGCAGCTGGCCGTAGGGAGGGCATGGCCGCCTCCCTCCCTCTTCCCGGCAGCTGTCTTACCAGGCCTGAACTCCTTTTCCCAAAGGCAGGCAGGGGTCTCCACCTCTGGCCCAGGTCCAGCCGGTGGGAGGGTGGGTGGCTTTTTCCGGGTCACTGACACACCCTCTGTATCCTTTCCACCTGCCTCGGTTCCATCCCAGTTCCAGGCTCCCTGGAGGGACTCAGAGACATTCCAATCCTCCCACTGCCCTCTCAGACGCCGCGGGAGGAGGGAAGGGGGCGCAGTTGCTTGGCTCTTCTAGAACTCAGCTTTGTCTCTCTCTCTCTCTTTTTAATTCTGTTTTTTTTTTTTTTTTTCAACCCCTAGTATCCTGGATCCACCCGGTAGAGGAAACCAGCCATTGATGAGAGGCTTGAAGGTTGGGTAGTTTACAGCCGACTCTTTGGCGAAGCCGCATCTTCAGCGACCGCGGCGCTTTTTGGGACACCGTCCCCGCTCTTGCAGACAATTGTAGAAGCCAAACCGCCAAGTTGCCTCCTCACCAGACCAAATATGGTCACAAGCGCTAAGCAGCCTTCCGTGGAAAAAGTCTGGCCTCGCGGGTGTCTCCCTGCGCCAGGGTGCGCCCCGGCCCGACCTCGGCCAGGTCCGCGCCCCGTGCGGCGATCCCGGTGTGGGGGCGCTCCCCGCAAGGCGAGGGCGCAGCGCCCCGGACCCGACCCTTCCTGGCCCCTGGCCCACGACAACTTGCCCTCCGTTATCCTCAGGCTTGGATTTCGTCCACAACCCCTTGATTTAACAGGCTTGGGCCATTTTCTCTTTGATCCCGCCCCAAGTCAGTGGTAAACTCAAAGGAATGCAGATAGAGCGCGCGGCGGGAGAGGTCGGCGCGGCGGGGCGGGGGCACGGTCTCTCTCCAGCCGCCAAGTGCCCAGCCCACCCCCGCCGGCCCGACCCGGGTGGGAGGAGGAGGAAGAGGAGGGGCAGGCTGGCTCCGGCCAGGAGGTCATGCATAATTCAACAGCTCCACTCTCGGCCCGCCTCTTTCCTAGGGGTGGGAGTTCGCTGCAAACTTTGTTTATGGGACAGTCCGGGAGCCTTGGCCGCTGCGCTCGTCTGCGTCGTCGTCTCCTCCTCCTCCTCCTCCTCCGCCGCCGCCGCCGCAGCCTCCTCCTCGCACAGTGCGAGCGCCCGGGGCCAGCTCCGGGGATGTGAGAGTCCAAACTTTTCGGCTGCTGGGAATCCGCTCAGGATCTGCCTGACGGGGCCGGGTTCCAGCTCGCAAGCTCGGGAGGCTCCCAGGCTCGGCTTCCCCGCGTGCCCAGGTAGCGCTCGCCGCGCCCCGCACCCTCCCTGGCGCCCGGCTCTTCGGCGTCCTGGGTCCCGGCCCCGTGGGATCGGCGGTGGGTGTGTTGCCCAGGGGAGGCTGCCACCCGGCCCGATGCAGGCACCCTTCCACCTCCTCCCGCCGCCGCCCGCTCAGGGGCAGCTTCTGAGCTGCGGGAAAGTTGCATAATCTCGGAGGCCGGGGGCGCCCCCTCCCCCCACCGCGGGTCCCTCGACGGGCACCCAACAGTCTCTGCGTTTTCTCTCTGTCCTTCCCCTGGACCCCCCTCCTCCGACTTAAACTAAAAAGCTTCCTTTATTATTTTTTTCTTTCCCTTGCAGAAAGATGAATCCGTCCTCGGTGCCCTCGGGGCTCCCGCCGCCAGGGCAGCAAGTCATCCACGTCACGCAGGACCTCGACACGGACCTCGAAGCCCTCTTCAACTCGGTCATGAACCCCAAGCCCAGCTCCTGGCGGAAAAAGATCCTGCCGGAGTCCTTCTTCAAGGAGCCCGACTCTGGCTCGCACTCGCGCCAGTCCAGCACCGACTCGTCGGGCGGCCACCCCGGGCCTCGGCTGGCAGGCGGCGCGCAGCACGTCCGCTCGCACTCGTCGCCCGCATCCCTGCAGCTGGGCACCGGTGCGGGCGCCGCCGGGGGCCCCGCGCAGCAGCACGCGCACCTCCGCCAGCAGTCCTACGACGTGACCGACGAGCTGCCGCTGCCCCCCGGGTGGGAGATGACCTTCACGGCCACCGGGCAGAGATACTTCCTCAAGTAAGTCAGCCGGCAGCACAGAGGGGGCACGGCTGTGATGCTCAGGACGCTGTCGCCTTCGTGGTGTGCGCGCCTGTGTCCGGAAGGCAGAGAGACCGGTTGAGACTCTGCCAAGGTTCTTCAGAGACCTGCGAAGTTGGAAAACGAGGGAGGAGTGGGTCTCTGGGAGTTAGACTTGACTGGAAGCCAGAGAGCAGCAGCTTTTGTGATCTTAGGCCCTTAATTCCCCTCCCTTAACTTACTTAGCTCAGAGCCAGGTCTATTAGCATAAGATAACAGGGACTTTGGGGAGAACCTGGAAGCGGTGGGTCTGCCACGAGTAGGTCGTCTGGGTGCTTCAACCACTCAGGAAAAGCAAGTCGGGAAAGAGCACAGTGCCTAGTGGGTTTACCTCTCCCAGCTGGGTGATGTAATGGCCACCCAGCACAGTGATGTAATTACCAACTGCATTGTAGACTAGTTATGGGTTGGACCAGCAAATTGTGTGGAAATTGGGTCAGGAGTCTCATTACGTTACACTTGCTAACCTATAATACCGTCACATTAGGAGTGTGCGTTGTCATCGTTCGCGTCGCATTGGTCTGGCTTTTTGATGTAGTGAGTTCTACATTAGATTCCGGTTTTGGATTAGGCTGTACAGGAGAAATATATTTTCAAATGCTGGAGGAGACTGGCATTCCTGAGGGGGGGGAACCAACCAGGCTGGAACTGGAATTGTTATCAGAACCAGTGAGATCATAGGTGTCACGCTGGCAAAGACCTAGATGGAAATTGCGGCTGCACCACTTGGTGGCAGAATCTCGTCTACTTGGCTAAGCTTCACTGCCCAAAGGGAAAATGCCCACGGACGGGTCTTGAAGTTCATCGTAGAGCTGTGTCTCTTTGTTGAGGTAGCCTTGTTTCAAAGGTTCACATGTAAGGTAGCGTGTGCTACTTTAAAAGTCTAACCAAACTCCTCTTTGGCGTTTATCTGTGATACTTTTGATTGTTGAGGACCTAAGAATGAGCATATGGTGGTGGGTACGTTTGTTATGGGCAAGTCTGAGAGACTCATATGGGTTGTCATTTCTTCCCCATCCCAAGGCTGTTGACATCTTGTTCATATTAAGATTTATTTTGCTGGGCGGTGGTGCCACACAATTTAGTCCCAGCACCGGGGTGGCAGAGGCAGGGAGATCTCTGTGAGTTTGAGGCCAGCCTGGTCTACAAATCGAGTTCTAGGACAGCCAGATCTATTACCCAGAGAAACCCTGTCTTGAAAAACAACAGCAAAAGATTAATTATATTATTGTGTGTGTGTGTGTGTGTGTGTGTGTGTGTGTGTGTGTGTGTGTGTAGATATGTGTGTGTACAACATACAAGAAGTGCCCATGGAGGCCAGAAGAGGGTATCTAAATCCCCGCAACTGGCTGTGTGAGCTGCAACTCCCTCCCCTAGTTTGGGATTAGGGTACTAGGAACTGAACCCCAGTCCTCTGCAAGAGCATCAACTGGTCTTAGTCACTGAGCTATCCCTCTAGCCTCTTGGGAATACTTTTTATTGTTTTTATCTTTGTTTTGGGAGTTGGTGTGATGCTGATGTCCTGAAGCCAACTCAATGGGCTTTTATCACAGCTGGCATCTGGATTACTGAGCCATGGTGTAGACTTGCACTTAGTGCTTTGATTTCTAAATAGTGGTAGAAGTAATAGCAGGGCATTTTTCTGAGCTTACAAAGTGTGCACATGTTCAAAATGTCATTATGCATTAAGCTCACTTAGGTAAATGCAACTGTACATTTTCACCAGGATTTTAACTAACATGGACTTTGCAATAAATGTTAAGAAGAGTCCAAATAATTTTAGATTGTCCCTTTTGATCTCAGATGATTTTTAAACAGCTCATGAATGTACACATAAGTGTGATTATTGAAATATGAAATAAGAACTGGGATTTCCTAATGTCTGTGGAAATATAGACAAAAATGACCTCTAAGTAAAAAAAATTCTTGTCTACATGTTTTAATGGTTAACATTGCTCAGATGTGTTTGGGATTTAGGGCAAAAATAGAAGTTAGCCTTGTGTATTGAGAAAGCTGCTGTTATGATCCATTTCTGTCCACCTATGCAGCCACAGGTACTAAACCAGAGTGCTTCTTCCTTTCCTTTCGAGTAGTTGGTGGATGGCATTGCCTGATGCCACCCCTGGAAAGTTCTTAGCTAAGTGACTAGGAGAACATAAGGAATTATGTTTTTTGTGGCTATTGTCTTGTAGAATAAGCAATCTGCCAAGAATTCTCCGTGTCTCCCAGAGCGTTGCTTGAAGTTTGAATAAGGTAAATGTTCTTTGTCACACTTGGTTACACAGCCTTAAGAAAAATGGTAGCTGTGCTGTCCACCCTGACTCTGTTACTCAGCGTTAGCATCTGTAAATGGGGCTGGCAGAAGAATCCTATTCTTGACTATGGGGACCCAGGGTTGTATCAGTCAGAAACCAAAGGTGTTTAGAATTGACGAGGATCAGCTTGAGGGTTTTAGCGGCTTTTCTGATATATATATATATATATATATATATATATATATATATATATTTGCTAGAGGAGGCTGAAGAAGTCATTTGACAGTGGACTCTGACAGAAACGATGTCTCCATCTATCTTGAAGCAGGTGTTATTTTCCCTTTTCAGAACCCCCCCCTTTTTTTTTTTGGTTTTTCGAGACAGGGTTTCTCTGTAGCTTTGGAGGCTGTCCTGGAACTCACTTTGTAGACCAGGCAGGCCTCGAACTCACAGAGATCCGCCTGCCTCTGCCTCCCGAGTGCTGGGATTAAAGGCGTGTGCCACCAACACCTGGCTCAGAACCTCCTTTTTAATGTATGTCACTAACACAGCTAGCTGGACAGTGGCTTTAATGGGGATTGGAGCCTAGACCTTTAAGAGGCTTTTAACCATCTTTTGTCATTTTTTTTTAGGTAAGCTAGATTATTCCTAGGTATATGACATCACTTTCTGCTCCTTTTTTTTTTTTTTTTTTTAAAGCAGGTTCTCACTTTGTAGGCCTGGCTTCCTGTGCTCTGAGTGTTGGGGAAAGCCCTTTCTGTTTGTTCTTAAAGGTTTCTTTTTGAATATTGACACCTTTTCTCCGGTATGGCTACCTTTAAGGTACAGGGTGAAGAGGCAGAGCTGAAGCCTGGTGTTTCCTCTGAAGAGTCCTTGTGGGCAGCCCAGGGTACATGCTGGGAGCCCCAGTGCTCCGGGGAGAACAGCCAGCACTCACTTAAGCGCCCCTACTGAGGTTATCATTTATTTATCTTCACATTTCTGATTATAATGTAATGCATGGTTTTTGTGCATGAACCATAAAACAGAATTATAAGGAGAATGATGACCCTTAGTCAATTTTTTTAGTCTTTTAACTTTTTTTTCTTTCTGAGACAGGATTTCTCTGTATTGCTTTGGAGCCTATTCTGGAACTCGCTCTTGTTGACCAGGCTGGCCTTGAACTCACAGAGATCCGCCTGCCTCTGCCTCCCCAGTGCTGGGATTAAAGGCGTGCGCCACCAACGCCTGGCCATTTTTTTTTCAGTCTTTATTCTATAAATGTTATTATAGAAAAATAATAATTCTGCTAGAGAAAACTTTGTCCTACTCTTATGTTGACCATTCTTATTAATGATTTTTTGTTGTTGTTGTTGTTGTTTTTTTTCCTCCGAGTGTAGCTGTGGAGCCTGGCCTGGCACTCACTGTGTAGACTAGGCTGGCCTCAAACTCACAGAGACCGGCTTGCCTCTGCTTCCTGAGTGTGCCACCTCTGCCGGGCAATGACCTCTATTAATAATTGTAGTATTTTTTTTAAACTCCAGGTCACATGATATAGCTGTGTACTAGGATTAAAGGCGTGGTTACCACACCCTACTGTTTTGCCTTTTCTGAAATATATGCTTAAGATCATTTTTTAATCAAACATCTTCATACGTGGTAAAGATCTAGTTGTACAGACGTCTGTCATTGAACAACAGTGGTTTCCTTCGACTCCTCAGTCAGTGTTCACAGCTAAGAACCTTTAAACTTTTAAAAATTGCATCTGTGTTTAATTTGGGTTCCCTCTTTAACCCTCAGTGGAAGACTCTGATAAGATAGGGAGAGTGTAGTTCCCTCCTAGTTTTGCTTTTTTTTTTTCTGAGTTTGTTGTTTACATGTTGTTTGCCTGCTAGTCATCTTTATTTTTTGTATTTTTTTTCCTCAACTTTTTTTTTTAAGTCAGGATCTCTTGTGTCCCAAGCTGGTTTCAAAGGCCGAGCATTCCCTTCTGGTTGGAGTTCCAGCCTTTGCTCCCTGAGTGCTGCTGGGGTCTCAGGCATGTGTGACCATGCCTAGCTCATGTCGCTGAGCCCGTGATTCCATGCATGCTAGGCAGGCACTCTGCTGTGGGCCAGCCCAGACTTTTTGTCACTTTCGGTAGAATGTCGGTGACGTGTGGCTGCCTGCTGGTTCTTACAGGGCCTGTTCACCTTATCAGAGCCTGGTGTTCTGTGTGCTTTGTCTAAATGGTGAGACAGGATCTCACTGTGTAGCCCTGGCTATCTCGGAACTTGTTCTGTAGGCCAGGCTAGTCTTGAACTCACAGAACTCCACCTGGCTCTGTCTCCTGATTGCTGGGATTAAAGTGGTGTACCAGTATACTCATAAATTCTTTCTCTTTAAGATTCATTGTTACTTTTTAGAAGAAATTGATTGTATGTGTCTGTGTGGCTGCCATGTGTGCCGGTCCTCAGAGGCCAGAACAGGGTGTCAGGTTCCTTGGGGCTGGAATTAGAGGCAGTTGTGAGCTGTGATAGAGGAACTGAACTTGGATCCTCTGGAAGAGCAGCGAGTGCTCTTAACTACTTACTGAGCTCTTTCTGTAGCCCTTCATGATTCGTGAAAATCCACAGTCAACATCTCTATGATTTTAACTCTATAAAATGATTGATTTCCTTATATATTAGCAGGAATTGGATTTTTTCTTTCTCTATTGGTTTGTTG